GATAGATAGACAGACAGACAGGCAGACAGATAGATAGATAGATATAGATAGATAGATAGATAGATAGATAGATAGATAGATAGATAGATAGATAGATAGATAGATAGATAGATAGATAGATAGATAGTTTATGCGTGGACCAGAGAAAACGTGTAATGATAAGGAATATTTTAAGGCTATACCATCCTTGCTTCTGAAATAAACATTGATGTGAATGATGAATGAGTCAAGTTTTTATAATAGAAAAACTTTTGCGAGGTTAGATGCATCAGCTACGTACTTTTCCGCCCCATGTCAATACTTTAATCTTATCTCATCTCTTCTCATCCTGTTTTACCTTATCTCACATTTCCTTATCTATCTTATCTTATGTTGTAATATCTTATCTTATCTTATCTTATCTTATCTTATCCTTATTGACTATAACCGCTTATTACTATATCATCTACTTTCTGGAAGGGATGAACAGACAGACAAAAAGGAATGACGGGTGGAAAGATGGAGGGGAGTTTCGATGAATGTGATATATAATGGAATGGATGGATGGATGGATAGATAGATAAATGGATGGATGGATGGATTGATGGATGGATGGGTAAATGTGTTCTTGATATATTGTACATGAGATGCTTTTGGGTACCAAAATGTGACTATTTTATTGGTGTTAAAAGAGTTCGTGGAGGGGGGGGGGGGTGCGTGCTTGCGCGCAATGAGTCGCTGTATGTATGTTTGTGTATGTGTATATCTTTGTGTACATGTGTACTAGTAAAATGCGCGTGTTTATTTCTTCGACTACATCTTTTTAAGAAAACTGTACACATGTAAGCCATTTCATCTTCCTTTTGAACAGTTCTCTCCGTCTTAACCACAAAAACTTAAACTAATTTGACCTGATTATGAATCACAGCCTTGTCATTGTGCTGGATCTGTAATATTTCGAGAAAACGATTCCGTGAACAAGAAAAAAAAACCTTTTTTGGGGACGGACTGGACACTCTTGCATAAGCCTAAGACAAAAGAAATGTGGCAAAAGTAATTTATGACTAACAAGACCTGAAAGTGTAAGGAGCAGTACCAAGAAAATTTACTAGCTTCATACAACAATTCACGTTCCTTGTTCAACGATGAGTGAGAACTGATTGCTAATGGGAGGCCACGACAACAGCCATGGGGCAGATCTACGAAAAGGTTCACATTGGAGGTAAGACACTCCCATCTCGCTCTCTGTGATCATGTTGTATTGTGATATAACACACAATAAGAAATCAGAATCATAGGGTTTCCTGGGAGGGAAGGTGATGCGCTAGAATGTACTACAAAAGCTAGAAAAACAAATTACTAAATTGAATAATCAATATACTAATCAATAGATCTGATCATTATTATCTATATTCTCGTATTGTTCCATCGTCGCATTGAAGTATCATTTTACTAACTTACTCACACTCTTGTTGAGTCAATGACTGGCTGATACGAATTAGATCATGGCACCCAAAAAGGACACAGGACAACAAAATTAAAAAAGAATTAATATCCAGAGGGGTGGTAAATATGAATGCGTCGCTGTCCTATCATGTTTACGTGGTGCTGCTTGTAAGTTCTAACCTTCCTCGTGGATGTGTGGTGCCTTTTCTCCATGTTCTACTTACCATATTTATTTCTATCCAGCTCTTTTTTCATGCAGACCTGAGCCTCGAAATCCTCACAACGTAAGGCCGGCCATAGAAATACATAATGAAGTATTATTTGGGCCGAGTTAGGTGTTAAAAGAAACTATGATAAGATTCATCAGAACCTTTGCTCCTTATTTTTAAGAACAGTTTTAGTAGTCTTTATTTTTTTTTAAATATGCTTCCAATGTGCATGTGGGTGCCTTTTCATATAGAGGATGAGAAAGTACTTTGTTTATATTTGTGTAGGTTACTGTTGTTGCTGCTGCTGCCTTCGTCATCGTCGTCCGCTTCGTACTCGTCGTTTTTGTAGACGTTGTTGTTGTTGCTGTTGTTGTTGTTGTTGTTGTTGTTGTTGTTGTTGTTGTTGTTGTTGTTCCTGCTGTTGTTGTTGTTCTGCTATTATTTTTGTTGTTATCGTCAGCGTCATTGTTGTTGTGGTGGTGATTTTTCTTTTGCTGCTGCTGCTGTTGTTGTTGTTGTTGTTGTTGTAGCTGCTGTTGTTGTTGCTATTGCCACTACTACTGTTATCTTGAGATTGTTTGTTCAGTGCCTTACTCTACTATTACTCTATCTAGATTTTTTAAACGACAGGAAAATGTAAACGTAATGGACGTTTTGGCCAGAGTATGTACGTGAGCATGATGCTGTAAACCATAGAGTGTTTACATACATGTATAGTTTTTTCACGCAAATGTATAGAGTGTGTTTGCATGTGTGTATGTATACGTGTTTGTTAGTATTTGTGTGTGTATATGTGTGTGGGTGTGTCGGTGTGCGTGTGTGTGTGAGAGAGTGAGAGAGACAGGAGAGACAGACAGACAGACAGACAGACAGACAGACAGACAGACAGACAGACAGACAGA